TGCTGCCACCTGCACCGCTGAGACTGGGCCTTTCTCGTTATGTTTGTATTTTCCTTTAAATATTTCTGCATATTTATAGTAATTAAATGGATTATTAATTTGCTTGATGGCATTTCTGGGTCTGTTTCTATTAACTTATTTCCCTTATACCAAGTATAGATAACTTTCCTGCTTCTTCAGATATCTAATAATTTTTTATTGCATTCTAGACATCGTAAGTGCTATATTGTTAAATATCTTCATTTTGTTGTCTTTATATAATATTGACATTTGTTTTGGGAGGTAGTTATTTCCTAAGAGCTTAACTCTTTTATTTTCTTCTTTAAAAAAAATTAAATCGGGAACCAGCAGTTAGCGTAATGGCTACGTTGCTGGATTCCCACGTAGTCGACCACGGTTCGAGTTGCGGACCCGGGGGCTTAAACTCATGCCGGTCTCGTGTGCGTGCGTGCCCAAGATCCCAAGAGGCGAATGGAAGAGAGGGGATTGTGGCGTGACCATCCCCCATGGGGGGTGATTTCTCGCTTTCTGTCTCTATGTCTCTCTCTGTCTGTCTGGCGAGCGCACGCACCCTATAGCGAAAAAACCTCTCAAAAAAAAAAAAAATTAAATCATGGGACCAGCAGTTGGTGTAGTGGCTATGTCACTGAACTCCCATGTAGTCGACCACGGTTCGAGTTGCGGACCCGGTAGCTTAAACTCATGCCGGTCTCGTGTGCGTGTGTGCCCAAGATCCCAAGAGGAGAAGGAATTGCGGTGTGGCCACTCCCCCCGGGGAGTGATTTCTCACTTTCTGTCTGGCTTTCTGGTGAGTGCATGCGCCCTATAGCAAAAAAACTCTCCAAAAAAAATTTTTAATTATTATTTTTTAGGGAAGACCAGCAGGTGGTATAGTGGTTAAGGTGCTCTCACATGGATGGATGTAGTTTGAGTCCTGGACCTGGCAGCTTAAAAATCACACTGTGTGCATGTGTGCTTGCATGCCCAAAATCCCAAGAGGAGACTGGAGGAAAAGAGATTGCAGTGTCTCCATCCCACCTGGTGATTTCTCACTTTTCCTCTCTTTCTCTCTTTCTCTCCAGTGAGCACACACAGCCTATGGCAAAAACCTAAAAAAAAGAACAAGAACAAGTAAAATAATAAGTTTTGGGGGGCCAGCAGGTGGTGTGGTGGTTAAGGGCACTGGACTCCCACATGGGCAACCGTGGTTTGAGTCCTGGACCTGGAGGCTTGCTTTTCTCTCTTTCTCTGGAAATGTTAAAATAATAATAAATAAAGTTAAATAAAATAATAATTTTTTTTTGGAGAGGTTTTTGCTATAGGGCGCGTGCACTTGCCAGAAAGACAGAGACAGAGAGATAGAAAGCGAGAAATCACCCCCCAGGGGAGATGGCCACACCGCAGTCCCTTCTCCTTCATTCTCCTCTCTGGACCTTGGGCACACATGCACACACGCCCAGCGTGAGTTTAATCCACCGGGTCTGGGATTCGAACTGCAGTCGGCTGCATGGGAGTTCAGTGACATAGCCATTAAGCTAACTGCTGGTCCCAATAAAATAATTCTTTAAAAAATAATTTTTTTTGGAGAGGTTTTTGCTATAGGGCACATGCGCTCGCCAGACAGAGAGAAACAGAGAGACAGAAAGTGACAAATCACCCCCCGGGGGGACGACCACGCTGCAATCCCTTCTCCTCCATTTTCCTCTCGGGATCCTGGGCATGCACGCACACGCGCCCGGCGTGAGTTTTAAGCCACCAGGTCTTGGACGCGAACCGAGGTCAACTACGTGGGAGTTCAGCGACTTAGCCATTACGCTAACTGCTGGTCCCTAAAATATAATTTTTTTAAAAAAATAGTTTTTTCCATGAGTGAGGAGAGGGAGACCCCAAACATGGTCTTCTTTAAAATTATTTATTAATGATAGTACATGCATGCAGACTAAAAAGAGACAGACACAGAGAGGCAATCTCAACAGGGTCTCCTCAGACTGCATTCCCCTTCCCCTCAGCCCTCTAGTTCATCAGGATCTTGGGCACGTGTGCACATACCTGGTGTGTTTCAGGTTCATATAGCCAACTGTGTGACTTCCAGAGCTACATTTCAGTACACTACTGATTGTGTCAGCAAGACTGGACCCCAACAGGGTATTGACTCCATGATCTACCTCCAGTTTCAGCCACCCCTAGATCATGGGCACATGTGTGCTTGATGTACTTAGGGAGGTCTGTGGATATGAACCGAGAACTTTTCCATGTGAGTTAGCCTTGCAGAGTGTCATGTTTTATTCCTATGTCTCTATCTGCCCCACCCTCCTTTTTTTTTAGGTTTTGCCATAGGGCTTATGAACTCGCCAGAGAAGACAGAGACAGAGAATGTGAGAAATTATCTCCCAGTGGGGATGACCACACCTCCCTTTTCCATCCTCTTGAGATTTTGGGCATGCATACACATGTATCCAGTGTGATTTTCAAGCTGCTGGATCTGGGACTTCAACTGTGGTTAACCATGTGAGAGTCTAGCACCTTACTCCCACGTGGTTGACCACGGTTTGAATCCTGGAACCAGTGACTGACTGTGTGTGCGTGCATGCCCAAAATCCTGAGAGGAGAATGGAGGAGAAGGGATTGCAGTGTGGCTATTGCCCCTAGAGGGTGATTTCTTGCTTTCTGTCTTTCTCTGTCACTCCAGCAAGTGCACATGCCCTATAGCAAAAATCTCTCAAAAAAACAAAACCAAAATATTTTTCTCTTTTTAGGTTGCTATAGGGGACATGCAATTGCTGGAGAGATACAGCGTGGGGGAGTGATGAGAAAGCACCTCCCAGGAGAAATGGCCACGCCACAGTCTCTTCCATTCTCCTCTTGGGATTTTGGACACATACACCCACACACACATGTGGGCCCAGGGTGGTTTTCAACCACCAGATCTGGGACTCAAACTGTAGTCAGTCATGTGGAGTCCAGTGCCTTAACCACCACACCCCCTACTGGCTCCATGCCTTGTGTTTTTCAAGCTGCTGGGTCCAGGACTTGAACTGTGCACTCAGCCATATGGTATCCAGCTGCTGCAACCACCCTGCTACTGGTTGGCTCAGTATTCACTTTACACCCAGTATTTCTTTTAACTGTGTAAAAGTACAATGTTGTTTTGAAATGGAAAAATGAAATGAACTTTGAGCTAGAATTAATTTGGGTTTGGGGCTGGTACAGTGGCCTAAATGGTTAAAGAAGTCAGATCCCACATGTCCGAATGTGACTGAATCCTGGCCCTGATGACTTGGGGGGGAAAAAGCGATGTGTGTGTGTATGTGTGTGTGCACATAATATACTGACAGGATGGAGAAAGGGAGAAAGGATTGTGATGTGACCATACCCCATTGGGGGTGCTTTCTCCCTCCCTCTTTTTTCTGGTGAGAGCTTGTGCCCTCTGGCAATTAAATATAATTTGGATTCAAGTTTCAGACTTTTTTTCCAACTTGCTACGTGAATATTGGCAAATCCTATATCTTTGGCAGTCACAGCTAAACTGAATTGAATATAATCCTATTCTCCCTATTTCTCAGGCATCTCATTAAGCAAATGGAAATAAAAACAAATTACACCAAATAAGAATGGGATTATATTTATAGTTAGCTGACAAAACTCTTCCAACTTCTCCTGTGCATCTTTCAGTTGCACACTCTAAAGTAAAAAGTGACTGAGATGAAAGTGTGGCGAGACTGGTGCTTTCATTGTTCCTCTTAACAGCCAGCTGTTATGGAATGACAGGAACAGTATAAGCCTTTTGTGAGAATTAACTCAGTCTTCATAACATCTTTGTGGTATAGGTACTGTTACTCTGCATTTCACATAGGAGAGACAGACAGAAAGATTAAGTAGCTTGCAGTCACACAACTAAGTGGCCAGTGGCTGAATTGGGATTGATTTGAAACCAAGCTGTGTGGCTCTAGAGCCATGGTCTTCACCACCATGACTAAAATTTTAAAACTATTGAAAATGCATCAAATAGGCAAGCACTATGTCCTAGTAGTAAGGGAGGTGGGTCCCACATGACCCACTGTGATTTGTTTGTTTATTTTTAAGAGAGGTTTTTTTTTTGTTTGTTTTTGTTTTTTTGCTATAGGGTGCATGTGCTCACCAGAGATACAGAGACAGAGAGACAAAAAGCAAGAAATTACCCCCTCAAGAGGGACAGCCACACCAAATCCCTTCTCCTCCATTCTTCTCTCAGGATTTTAGGCATGTACACACATGCGCCTGGCGTTGAGTTTTAAGCTACCAGGTCTGGGACTTGAACCATGGTCAGCTACATGAGAGTTGAGCAACGTAATCATTATACCATCTGCTGGTCCCCCCCACTGTAGTTTTGAGTCCTAACCCTGGTGGCTTGGAAAACATACCAGTCACATGTGCACATATGCCCCAAATCCCAACAGGATGGAGAAAAGATTGTTTTGTGACTATGTCCCATGGGGGTGGGGTGCTTCCCCTCCCCCCTTGTCTCTGTCTCTAGTAAGCACACACACATACCATCCGGTAATTTAAAAATGGGGTGGAGGGGGGATACGCCTACTAATGCTTATGTGGAGTCATTAATTTTCTTCAGCTATTAGGTCATCAGAAAAGTTATGACACATATTTGCATAGAAAAACAAAATATGTCATGACTTTTCCAACGATCCATTATGAAGAGTGAGAGTGCACCCTCTTTGACATTTCTTTCACAAATCCTGTTTATTTAGTCAGCCTGACTCACATCTATGGGGAAACAGAAAGACTGGACTATGGTTGGAACATGTGATTCCTGAGAAAAACACTGCTGGGGTAGTAGGAAGTGGCAGAAGATGATGTTCAGCACAAACTACCTGGGGAATATGATATGAATGATATCCAAGGGGTCCAATGTGTTTCTAAGAGGGTGTTGGTATTTATTGAATCTCCTGTCTGGCAGCTCTTGTAGTATCAATAGATTCTACTGTTGTTTTTCTCCTCTTTCTCAGACACATTTAATCAAACCAGGCACCAAAATGCTAACACTCTTGCCTAGAGAGAGAGAGGTTAATGTTTTCTTTGGTCAACGAAGAACTCCACCTGCAGGCATTCGGCAAACTAGCATTGCTTCCTTCTTCACCTCACAGCCAGGTATGGTGACCCACCTGGGAATACTTCATTATTGGGGAACAAAGTGGAGTGTGTTCATTTTATCATACTGGAACATTTATGCAAAGTGGTGAAACCAGTAAAATGTGTTAAACTTAACTATCCTATTAGAAGTTATAAAACTCAAGAAATTATCACTTTTGAAAAGCTGGATACCCAGAGACTTCAAAAAGTTCATGGAAAAATGGAATTAAAGTACAAGTTACTGGGCCAGGAGGTGATGTGGTTAAGGCACTGGATTTCCACATGACCAACTGTGGTTTGAGTCCCAGATCCGGCAGCTTGAAAACTGTGCCAGGCATGTGTGCCTGCATGCCCAAAATCCCAGGAGGAGAATGGATTACAGTATCGCCAGTCCCTTGGGGGGGGGGGGATGATTTCTCACTTCCCCACTCTCTCTCTGTCTCTCTCCTGCAAGTGCACGTGCCTTATGGCAAAAACCTTTAAAAAAAAAAAAAAGTACATGTTATTTTGTGCAAATAGTTTGAAAGCCATATATAGTTTTTCATAATATGCATTTTCTGTGAACTTTTTAATTTTACATATTTTTGGAGAGATTTGTGCTATTTGGGTACATGCGCTCACTGGAGAGACAGAGACGGAGAGAGTAAAGGTGAGAAATCACCCGCCCCACACACACGGGAACAGCCACGCCACAATCCCTTCTCCATTCTCTTGTCTGGATTTTGGACACGCACTGTGGTTGGCCATGTGGGGGTCTAGTGCCTCAACTATCATGCCATTTGCTGGTCCCCTGCGAACTTTTTGAAGGCTCCACATATATATGCTTTTATAGACATTTTCCTGGTTTTTTTTTTTTTTTTTTTTTTTAGTTTAGCATTGTAGGAATTACTGTTTTTGTTGTTTATTTCTTCCTTCCTTGAGAGAGAGAAAGAGCACTCCCAACAGGGTCCAGATGCTGTTATCCCAACTATCGTGCCATTTGCTGGTCCCCTGCGAACTTTTTGAAGGCTCCACATATATATGCTTTTATAGACATTTTCCTGGTTTTTTTTTTTTTTTTTTTTTTTAGTTTAGCATTGTAGGAATTACTGTTTTTGTTGTTTATTTCTTCCTTCCTTGAGAGAGAGAAAGAGCACTCCCAACAGGGTCCAGATGCTGTTATCCATCCCCAGCCATCATCCAATCCCAGATCATTGACAAATGATGTATTCTGTGTATTCAGGGAGGTCGGCAGATTTGAATGGGGAATCCTCCCATATGGAAGAGTTACAAAGCATTGCACCACTGTCTGGGCACCATTCAGTCTGATACTGAAATTTGTGTTTGCAGATAGAGCAGGGAGGAAAGTTTTACTTCTGAGTTTGGGGTACACAGGGAAGTTACCTGCCACTAGTGAGATATGTCTCAGATTGGGCACAATGAGTGCTTTCTATAAGGTTAACAGATTATTCATTTTTCTGTATGAAGTGTCTCAAATTAGTCAAAGGCTCAAAGATTTTTTTCTTAGAAAAAATGGCATAAAATTGACTTTTACTCATCCTCCTTGTGCAGCTCTTTGTTTGGATGTCCCTTTTTTGGGGGGCAGCAGCCTCAGAGTAGACTGGGGCTTACAGAGCAGGGTTCTTGCCAGGTAGATGGTGTTGGGAGGAGTGCTTTAACTATTTTTTTTTTAATTGGTAGAGGGCTGGTGCACTCACCAAAGATAGAGAGGGAAAAAGCACCTGCTAGTGGTGCATGGTCTTGCCACAGTCCTTTCTTTTCTATTTCTCCATGTTGTCAGGAGTCTGGGCACATACACATGTGTCCTGCATGTTTTTCAAGCTACTGGAGCCAGGACTCAAATCACAGTTGACCATGTGAGATCCAGCTCTTTAAAGTGGGGCTGGTCCTGGGATTACTTTGATGCTTAATGTGATTCTTAGAATTACTTTGTATAAACCTTCAAAAAGCATTCTCCCTCCTCCCAAAATTAAACACTTTCTGCTTTATGTAACAAAGGTAGATTCCCCCCCAGAAAGTTCTCATTTATAATTTATAGTGTATTTGTACTCTATATTGAATTCTTAGACAAAGTTGAGAATCTCACAAAGCAATCAGTCATTCTGCTTTGTTTGTAATTAGAACTTGATATATTTAATTTGGGGAGAGTGGGATGCCTGATAAAATGGAAAGGTTGGATACTAGTAATTGTTTGAATATTGTCCTTCCTTCTGGCTAACTTAGCATCCTAATTTTGTCTTCCCTTCCTTCCCCATGAAAGGGTTTTGAGGAGCCTACCTTCACACTGTCACCAGAAAGTTTTTTGGAGTTGGATGGTTAATGTGGTCTTTGAGACTTTAGAAAGTAGTGTGTGTTGGGTGTTTTTCTTTTAAGGATAATATCAAATAATATTGGTAGAAACCACATTAAATTAAAAAAAAAATCAATGTTCCTTATGTTAAACCACCCTACAAATGAACAATTCTGCTGGAAAAGTAGGCTGTGGTCTGATTACATGCCATGTTTAACTTCATTAAGTAGGGAAGCATCCATATATTTGAGTATTGGAGTGTAAGAGCTGGGATTTAGAAAGATCATTTAGGAGAGAATATCAATATTGAAAACAGGAAGATCAGCTACAAAGTTATAGGAAGAGTGTTAAAAAGGGCCCAACTCCTACTGCACATCTGGAAGCCTTGTGCCCAGTCACAGCATGAGGAGACCTTATCAAGAGTATTTCTCTCTCTCTCTCAAGCATGCATACATACTCCCTATCATTTAGAGGGAAAAAAAAGAGTACTAAAAAAGTCTAAGAACCCTGAACTAGGTAGTAATATAGTAGCCTATGTTAATTTCAGGGGGGGAAAAAAAGAAACAACTAAATCTTGATCAGGGCAATTTTCCCACAGAATAATCATTCTTCATTACTCTTTTACTAGGAAAGACAAATGGCGGTAACCAGAGGAGTGTTTCCCCTCCTGTAGAAAGTCACACTGACAAAGAGTCCAAGACAAACACAACCCAACCAGGCCATCTGATCCAAGGCTTGGGGGATGGTTATATGCCCCCTCCTTTAGCCACTTCAACCCCTTCAGACGTCAAGGAAGCTGGACTTTCTTCTCAGTCCCCACACCACAGAATGGGAACTCCATTTTTGACTGTGCAGTCTTTTCTTCAGCCTGACACCCTAATCCATGCTGGAGAGGGTAAACCACCACTGGCTTCTTCCTTTACTCAGGACTTGGAAAGTTCTTGTTTGCTGGACCAAAAGAAGAGAGAGAAGGATTCTTCAAAGAAAAAGGAATGGCTTTTTGGATCTCAGAAGAATTATCAGGGCATGGAGAGAGGCAGCAAACCTCCTGGGGATAAACGGCTCTTGGACAAGTCTAAATTGGAAAGGAAGGCATCCACCAAAGAAAATAGGCAGGCTCCTGCGCTCTTTCAAACTTACAGGGACTCGTGGAATGGAGAGAAAACAGAATTAGTGAGACAAAGCCCTTGTTCTATTTCTGGGTTTCCCTGGGACAGTGAAAAGAATGATAAGGACTCCTGGAGTCAGCTTTTCACTGAGGATTCTCAGGGCCAGCGGGTCATTGCCCACAACACTAGAGCTCCCTTCCAAGATGTGACCAATGACTGGAAACCGGGCTTAGGGCGGTTTCTTAATAGCCAGTGGGCTCAGTGCCAGGATGGGCTGACTCAGTTAAATCTGCAGCCTGACTCGCTCTTTACCCAGGACTCTGAAGGTAATCCAGTTATTAGGCATCAGTCCTAAATGTTTTAATGAGGGTTTGGTTCTGAAAGTACCTTAAAATGTCAGAGACATAGGAAAATATCTTATAGTTGCAGGGGTGGGGGTGAGTTTGTATAGGCAGGAAGGAGATATGAGATGAAGCTATTATCATTACTGAGCATTTTGTGTAAATAATGTGAGCAGTGCCACTTGTTGAGACAGTATGATTGCATCAGGCCTTTCTCTTGGGAAGAAAGTAACTAGTAAATTCCCTGAGCAGGCAGGGCAGGTATCTATCCCTCCTCTAAGGAGTCTGTATTCAGCCTGGGCAGAGCCACCTCTTTGACCTTTCAGATGTGTGACTAGGACCTTGCTTCTTACAGATGTGTGTTAATCTCTGGCTGTAATCTCGCCCCCTCAATCTAAGCTTAAAACCATGATTCCTGACACCTTTTTGAGGTATATGGGGCAAAGGACTATAATGAGAGATAGAATGGTTTAATGTTAGTTTTAATGTTACAAGCATTTTAAAGTCATATACTCTGTGTTTAAATATCTCTCCCCAAAAAACCTGAGCTATTTAACAGTCCAGATGTAACTATATTTATTACTCTTTTTCTATACGATGGGAGAGAATCCCTTTCGTAAAATTATAAATCCAAGTAAATGTTTACAAAGTTGATTCTGATAGTAATTAAAACATATCCAATTTTAGTTTTGAAAAGCAACATTTTAATAGTGTATACTCTGTCATTGCCCTAGGTCTGATCTGAACACAAGTCTCATTTCACCTGAGTCTTACCCAAGGCATGATCCATCAGGTGGCAGCTTCTCATGTTGCAGGCATGGCACCTAAGAGGCTTAAACAAACCCTCAGGGGGCAAACTTGTGAGTAGTGAGGTGGAACTGCTTTTAAAAGTTTAGGGCAGGCCCAGCTGCAGTGGCATGTGCTGCTAAGATGCTGTGTTACACAGCCTGGGAGGTCCAGGTTTGATTACCAGCCCAACCTGGATGGCCAGGCATGATAGCACATGCCTGTGGTCCCATGGTCCCAGTGGCTCAGGAGGCTGAGGCATGAGGATCACAAGCTTAAGGCTAGCCTGGGCAACACAGGCAGACCCTATCTAAAAAGAGCTGGTGTGGTGCATGTGTGAGCCTGTGATAATTGGGAGGCTGAGGCAGGAGGACTGAGACATGGTGAGACTTTTTTTTTTTTTTTTTTTTTTAAGAGTGTAGGGCAAAATCTGTACAGAAAGGGAAAAGAAAATCCCTGTTTTCTCTTATAAGAGCAGTGCCTTACAAGGAAAAGGAGATCTAGGAGCTTAAGAAAGTTTGTATACCTTAAAATTAACAGGAATCATATATGCCTGAGGGATACTGGATGATCACAAGTCAGAGAAGGACACAGCAAATGCAGTCTCTCTCTAAATCCTTCTTTTAATGTCAGGGAGTGCAGCAACCCAAACACACACAGTATACATACTGTAGAGAACGGGACCTGAGGGGATCTGAGTCATGCATGGTATGGTGGGTACAAACCTTGTCCTACCCAAAGTAGCAGTCATGGGCCTGGGAGAAGCATGGTATGCTCTTTCCCCTCCCCATTTCTCTTTCCTACTGGGCTTAAACTATAGTCCATGGAAGAGACGGTTTTAAATCAGTGGAACTGATGAGGCCCCAAGGCCTTGTTGGAGGGTAGATTGGTTGTACAGTATTACAAAACATGTTCTGAGAAAAAAACAGACCAGGCCTCCCAGCAGCAGCCCAAATGTCAACTGATCCAGTGGCTGGACCTCTACGTATAGATAGGAAAAGGGTGATTGCTGGGCATTGGTGTCGGTTTATGATGGAGCAGCATAAAATTTCCCTGCCCTGTGAACATAAAACATTAACAACCCTTCCCCTCAGCGCTGCTGTGCTGCGAAGAAGCCACTGAGAGTGAGTGACAGCTGAGCACAAAGTGTCCAGTGAGACCTGTTATGGGGTCTAATGCAGTGAAGTCAGTCATTCATTCAGGACCTATTTTCACACAGCAAGGAGAGACCAGAAACTTTGATCTCACCTTTTAAACTGAGACACTCCACCCTACACAATTACCTGTAACAAATGTCTCAGCTTCTATCACAGCCTTAGCTTCTGCTAGTCAGCTTCTGCTAAGGTTTGAAGTATGGGATACATAACCCAGCTCTTTTTTCAGTCTGAGCTCTAGTTTGTCAGCAAGACTGTGGCCGAAGACTTCTAATTGAGAGGCAGAAACATCTGCAGTGAGGAAGGCAGCTATTGAAGGAATTCCAGGAGCGTGAGATAGTTTGCAGAGCTGAGTGTTGTCAGTTTCCTTTTCTAGTGATATCTTCTTCCTTCAGAGCGAACTTCCTCCTTAGGACCTCAGAAATTAGCACAGCAGGGTCTTCCTCCTTCAATAAACTCCGGTTCCTGGAGACAAAATAATTGCTTATATTTATTGAATACTTTATCCTGAGTAGTATTCTGTGTCTTTGCATATATTATTTCATTAAGTCCTCACAACAGTCTTATGAGGTAGGTGCTATTAAAATTCCCTTTTATAAATGAAGAAATTGAAGCACAGAAAGGTTCAATAATTTGCTCAAAGTCACTAGACACTCAACAAGTGTTGAAATCAGAGTTCAGAAGCAAGCTAACTGGTTCCAGATTTTTTTTTTTTTTTTCTTTTTGTTAGAGGTTGCGTGCCCTTGCTGGAGAGGACTGTGGGGAGTAGTCACTACAGTTCCTTCTCCATTTCTCCTTCCCATCAATTTTAGGCATATACACACATGTGCCCCATGTTTTTCAAGCCACTGGATCCAGGACCTGCACTGTGCAGTTGGCCATACCTACCATGCCACTGACTGACCCAGATTTCATCTCTTAATAAGAATGCTAACTATTTTCTGAAATTGCTATAAAGCATGGGTAAAGTAAAGGACCATCATTTTGGTGCCTAAGCTTCTGCTCCCACCTTTTGGCCCTATCTTTTCATAGAGTTTCCTTGAGGGGTCAGAGAGTGATTGATGACTCTTGGCTATTCTAACTGATTCTGGGGGAAATGTGTGCGGAGGATTTTTTATTACCTGCCTTTCCCTCAGGAGATCTGAGAGTTGTTTTTTGTTCTTTTATTTTTTTTTAAATGAGATCCATAATTACAGCAAAATATTCAAATCATAAGGAGCCACAGAGGGAGAAAAAAAAACCCACCATTCTGGAGTAGATTCAAATGACCTGCCTGACACACCATATAAGAAGGTCTTGAACCAGCAGTTGGTGTAATGGCTATGTCGCTGGACTCCCATGTAGTTGGCTGCAGTTCAAGTCCCAGACCCCGTGGCTTAAACGCACACGCGTGTATATACGTGCCCAAGATCCCAAGAGGAGAATGGAGTAGAAGGTATTGCAGTGTGTCCATCCCTCCTGGGGAGCGATTTCTCACTTTCTGTCTCTGTCTTTCTGGCGAGTGCATGCGCTCTATAGTAAAAACCTCTCTCTCTCTCTCTTTAATAAAACCCTCCTCCTCCACCCCAAAAAAAAAAAAAAAAAAAAAAGTCCTAATACCTGGAAAACAGTTGATTGAAATTCTACTGAACTTACATACATACATCCCAATAAAGGTGTTTTATTGGTTATTAGGTTAGATTAAAAGGCCATGATTGATTATTAAACCTTAAAAGCAAAAACAAAAGGTATAGCCTTTGTTTAACATGTGCCAACTGGGCTACTTCCCTGTTTTTAGTCACTGACTCAGCTCTTGTTGGTCCCGGGACATAAGTAGGGAGGGGCATGATGATAGGTCTTGGATCCTATGTGATCCAAGAGGCAAGTAAGAGAAAATTTGTCAGTCTATAAAACATTGTAAATGGGGAGGGGGGGGGGGGGGCATACCAAAAGCAGCAGGATATGAATTTGGGAATGCAGACCAAAGAATTGTGGGTTAGTATGACCAGCCTGGCTAGGGCCAGAGCAGTAAGGTAAGAGCCTGAAGGAATGAGGGAGCCACTTAGCCTTGTCTGGTTTTAAGAGGGAAATGAGGCGCCATAACAAAAAGGGATCCTTTACAATGAGTAGCCTCCCTTCAATAGGAGCTTCAACACCTTGAAGACAGACCTCTCTACCAAGCCTCTAGGAACAGTTAATGTTATCTGCATTAACAAGTACAGCCACACAATCTGGTACTGGCAGTCATGAATGAGTTATCAAACTCAAGTGCCCAGGAACCTGCATTTTGAACAAGTTGCTCTGGTGAGTCCCACGCAAGTTGCTCAGACTATACTTGGTGAAACATTGTGTAGGGTGGTGCCTCTCTCAGCTGCAACTCTAGAGCTTCTCTGCTACATACATTTTTCAAGGTAGGTGTTCCCCAAATTCCCTCACACTCTATCAGAAAAACATAAAACTCTACCCCTTGGGGATTCTGCTTTAGTTAAGTTTAAGGTGTATTTTTTTAAAACAATGATTTAATTTTACTATTTCTTCATTTGGCCAGAGGGAGAAAGAAAGTGAGAAAGCATGCCACTAGGGTCTAGGACTCAAACTGTAGTTGGCCATGTGGGAATCCAGCCCCTTACGGTGTATTTTTAACAAATCTGAGTAATTTCAGTGGGCAGTTAGGTTAAGGAACTATCTCTACAAGTCTCAAAGCCTTGTTCTCAAATTCTTGAATTTGCAGGGTTACTTGGCATAATGGACTATTGTCTACTACAAAGTATAAATTCCCAGCTCCTAAAGTTCTCCCACCAAGAGAGTCTACCAATTTGAGATACCAAAATAAAGAGACATGGGGGCACTGTCCCTAATAGTATGAGAAATGAAGTAGTGAGACACTTCAGGATAGCAGTTGGATTAGATGACCCTTTTTGTAAAAGCCCTACTGGCCTTGGGACCAGCAGGTGGTGTGGTGGCTAAGGCTCTGGACCCTCCCACATGGCCAACTATGGTTCAAGTCCCGGACCTGGCTTGCTTTCTCACTTTCTCTGTCTTGCTCTGGTCAAATTAAGGGGGGAAAAAAAAAAGAATGAATAAATAAAATTAAATAATTTAAAAGGAAAAAAAGCCCTACTGGTCTAACACTTGGTTGGGATGACCTAACCCAACGGATGTATTCTCTTTTTACAGACTGGGGCCCCAGGCATTAGTAAACAGGTAGTAGGCCCCTAGGCACTAGCAAACAGGTAGTAGGCAAACTTTTTTTATTTTTTAAAAATTATTTATTTAATTTTATTTATTCACTCATTTATTTTTTGACCAGAGGAGGAAAGAGAGAGAGGGAAAGTGAGAAAGGAAGCCACCAGGTCCGGGACTTGAACCGTGGTCGGCCATGTGGGAGCATCCAGCACCTTAACCACCATGCCACCTGCTGGTCCCAGTAGGCAAACTTTTGAACAACATACATGGCTACTACTAAGGACTTGATATGTAAGTATGTTGTGTTAGGTCATTGGCTGCAGGAGTCTTAAAAGAGTAAACATCACCAGAGATCCTCATCAGATACTTACAGATCTTGGCTCTGTTTCATCCGGTGAAAGTCCTTCAGGATACCCATCATGTCAGCAAAGCTGCTGGCCTTGGACAGAGAGACACAGTCATCCTCTTCAGACGAGCTGCAGGTAGCTTTGTGTTCTGATTTGCAACATTCTGGGCTGGTAGAACAAAGCAGGGGGACTGATGGAAGCTCAGGGACCTCTACCTCAGTCTCCTCAGTGATGTCACTAATGACAAAGGAAGTCGTAGAGTGGAATGAGGATCCAAAACAAGGTAAGGGAGAAGAGACATTTGAACTTCCTGGAGATAAGAAATCTGGTGTTAATGAAGCCGAAGCTGAAAGAGAAAACAATAGGCATGGATGGATATTGGGGCTAGAATACAGGAGCATTCTCTTCTCCCCACAGCACTGGCTACCAAACATTTCCTGGGCTGACACCATGACATTTCTTGGGGAACCATGATAATATCTAGCCAGTGGAGGGTACCTCCTGTTCAGGGGCTCAGGGAGATGTAGAAGCACTGAGTTCTGGTGTTCTAGAAGGGATTAATGTCCTTGGCCCTTAAAGGCTCCTATTCCACAGTGGGCTATGGAGTGACAGCCCCTGTCTTAGACTGAAACAAGAGTGACAAAGCCAATGCCTGAATTTGTCCTCTTCTCTAACTGGGCTAATTTTTGTTTGTTCTTGTTTTTAAACAAAAGCATGCATGCACTTTCTGGAGAGAGAGAGTGAGAAGGAAAGTGAGAAAACACTCCCCATGGAGAGTGGCACGTTGAAATCCCTTCTCCATTTCTCTTTTTTAGGATTTTGGGCATGCATGCCTATGTGCCTGGCATATTTTTCAAGTTGCTGGGTCCAGGACTTGAACTGCAGAGTTGGTCACATTGGATCCGGCTGCCCCAGCCACTATGCCACAGGCTGGCCCAGGGGTAGTGTTTCACCATGTACCTTTGAATCTTGGTATCATGGGTTCGAAGAAGGGTTCTGAGCAAAACTAGAATGGCAGTAGTATTTCCACTTTTCTGAATTTCAGTAAGAGGAATTCTGAGTTTCTAAGGAACACAGGTTTTTCACAAACTACTTTTCTCTTGCATAACGAAAATAGTAACCAAGAAATATAAATGCAAGTGCAATTCCCCCTAACACTTACACATGAAAGAAATTAAATACATGAAGATTTCAAAGAGCATCATGATTTTCATGTGTTCTACTATTGATAAGGTCTGTGAGCTTATGACTCTGTCGATAAGTGAAAAAGGAGAGGAATGTGAGTATAAACTCTAAGCATCCTGGGGGAGAGAGCCACTCAGTTGTCCATGCCTTTGGTCAAGGCAGGCTCCCATCTATTCCCAGTGGTTCTGTCTAACTGCAAGGCAGAAAGCTAAGGAGTTAGAGAGGTGATCTTAGTCTCCTCAGTAACAAGGAAAGAGAAGACAGGTGCTTAAAGGAGAGATGTCTCTTGGTGGTGGTAGAAGTAAGAAAATGCTTATTTGAGACCAGCAGGTGGCACTGTAGTTAAGACACTTGTTTTCGGGAACCAGCAGTTAGCGTAATGGCTATGTCGCTGGACATGTAGTCGACCGTGGTTTGCGTCCCTGACCCAGTGGCTTAAAACTCATGCCGGGCATGTGTGCGTGTGTGCCCAGGATCCCGAGAGGAGAATGGAGGAGAAGGGACTGTGGCGTGACCATCCCCGCTGAGGGGTGATTTCTTGCTTTCTGTCTCTATGTCTCTCTCTGTCTGGCGAGCGCACGTGCCCTCTAGCGAAAAACCTCTCCAAAAAAAAAGGACACTTGTTTTCATAGCTGAGGGAGGGAATCTGCTTGGGGTCACAGGTTAAGTAAAAGTTTTGTTCCTAACCAAGCCATTCAGCCCAAAATGGCTAGCCTATAGGCTGTACAGGTAACCTTGGAGCCTCGAGCCTAAGTCCCTCTCAAATCAAGGAGCACCATTTTCCTTATCCCTATCCTGCCTAAAAGCCAGGGGAAAAGGGACAGCCTGCTATACTCTGCTCTGGCTCAGGGGCTCCTACCTGTATCAGCTGCCACTATTTTGGCAATCTGGCTACGCAGGTGGCTCAGCTCATCCTGCAGCTCAGTGGTACGGCTTAGGGCTGGCAGGGCTGGCTTCTTCAGGGCTAGGAGCCTCTCCTCAGACCCACGTAGGTTGGGCACTGAGGCATTGCGTTGCATGACGATCAGAGGGCTGGGCTTCCAGGTGTGCCTCAGCGGGCGTGTATCGCTCCTAGACCAGGGAAAGACAAGTATATGTCAGAGATAGCTAGGCACTTCACCCCTTCTAAAATTCCTACATCCCCTGACTTACGAGTAGCAGGTTCTGCTCCCCTTGAGGCCATACCTCTCTTTCCTATCATCCCTAGCCTCTCACAGATACCCTCCTTAACTGCCTGCCACCTTTTCTGAAGGAGCTCTCCATGCTCTAGCAAACCGGCTACTGCCTCAGCTACCTGACACGGGCATATGTCTCCTCTTCATCTGCAGCAATCCAGGCGATGTCAGCCAGCGTAGGGACTGGGGGCACATCTCTCAAACACAGGTCAGTGAAGCTGGGTAGGGTCTGTGGGGGAACAAAATTGGCTAACTTTTATTGACCATTATGAGTTCATCAGATGATGCAAAATATATTGGAGGGATACCTAATCTAGCAGTGGCAAAGGCTTCCTACAGAGGAGGTAAAAGAAGGTTCCTGGTTGCAAACAGCGTGTATAAGAGGCCAGAAGCAAGAAAGTCTATGGATTTACAAACACTCTAGAGTCTTCAATTGAACTGGCCTCAGTTACCTCTTACTAGAGATGGCTTCTGTCTAAAACCATCTTGCCCTCTGCTTGAAAGAATACAGGTGTGGGGCCATCAGGTGGCATGGTGGTTAAGCTGCTGTATTCTCACATGACCAACCATGGTTTGAGTCCCAGACCTGGCAGCTTGAAAATCATACTGGGCATATGTGAATGTATGCCCCAAATCCCAGGAGAATGGAGAAGAAATGACTGCGGGTGCTGGGGGTGGAGGGAATGAGGTGATTTCTCACTTTCCTTCTATCTCTCTTTGGTGAGCACATGTACCCCACAACAAAAAACTTAAAAAAAAAACAAACAAACAGGTGTGCTATCATCAACCTGTTACATCAATAGGAAATTCTTCCTGGCTAGCTATTATCACATCTTTCTACCTAATTGGGATTGATCTACACTATCACAGCAATGTTGTTTTAAACAAACCTGGTAATTAGAATAGATTTGGCATAATGGTTATGTCACTAGACTCCCACATGGCCAGCCACGGTTCTAGTCCTGGACCTGGTGGCTTGAAACTCACACTGGGCACATGTATCTCCAAAATCCCAAGAGGAAACTGGATTGTGGCACGGTCATCCCCCTGAGGAGGTGATTTCTCACTTTCTTTCTCTGTCTTTGTCTTTCCCGTGAGTGCATGAGCCCTGTAGCAAAAATCTCTTTAAAAAAAAAAGAAAAAAAAAGAACCATAGGCATGTTTTTTAAAGGTTTTGTAATTTTTTTTTTTTTTTTGTGCACTTGCCAGAGAGACACAGACAATGAGAGGCAAAGTGAGAAATGGCCTCTCCACAATCTCCTCCATTCTCCTGGGATTTGGGGCATGTGTGCACATAGGCCAGTATGATTTTCAAGACAACAGATCCAGGATTCACACTACATTCAGCCAAGTGGGAGTCCTGAATCTTAACTACCACACCACCTACTGGCCCTCCAGGGAATTTTTTTCCTTTTTAAAATAATTTCATTTTTTCATGAGAGACAGGAGACAGGATCAGCTATGATTGCTCCTTTGCTCTTGGCAATCAAATGAGTTAACACAGAGAAAGCATTAATACTTAGCACAGTGCCTGACCTGTGCTCGGTAAAGCTTAGTTAGGATTACTAATACTATTCACACATACTACTGCTCTGCAGAAACCGATGCCTGTACCTGGCCAGCAGCATCAGGCCAAAGGCTGGAGAGGATACAGCCAAATGTGGATACAATCTCCATGGATTCAACCATACTGCCTGTCTTTCCCTTTGTTTCTGATGCTCCGAAGCACCTAGGACTACATCTTGCCTGTGACCTTTAGGCAATTCTGGATAAGTGGCAGTATGGATCACAGGACAGCCTTCACACACACACTTTCAACTCCATTCCTCATCCTAATAGCCCTGACAACACTTCTAACTCCAGATCCAGTTCCTACATAGACTTTACAACTTAGCATCTGATACATAAACTCACCTCCTTTGTTTGTTTCTACCTAGGTCCACATCCTTTTATGCATGTATTTCTATCTTTTCTGTGTAGGCAGAAGGTAGAATAATTTCTTTTGTGTCCCAGCTCCCCAAACACACACCTTAACCGTTTGGTCTGGAGCTGCTTTTTTTTTTTTTTTTTTAGGTTTTTGCTATAGGGCGCGTGTGCTCGCCAGACAGAGACAGAGATAGAAAGCGAGAAATCATCCCCCAGGGGGGATGGACATGCACACACACATGCCTGACGTGAGTTTTAACCCACCGGGTCCGGGATGTGAACCGCAGTCGACTACATGGGAGTCCAGCGACATAGCCATTATGCTAACTGCTGGTCCCTGGAGCTGGTTCTTAATAAATGCTAATAAATGCTATTAGCTTTCCACTGCTAAAGAAAGTCCCAGAGACTTGGGCCAGGCAGGATTCTGGTGTAGCATGGGTGCTAAGTGCTCCCTAGACACAGAAGTAAGATTGAAGTAGCTAGCTTAGGTCAGAAAGAATAGGATAAGTTATGACCTCAAACACTAAAAATAATAATAAAATAGGTCCTACATACTAGGTTGCTGACAAACACTTCAGAGTATAGACATAAGTAGTCTGGTGATCTGGCTCAGCAAGGCCTTTGGCCTGCTCTGATAAACTGGATTGCTGGAGCCTGATGAAATCTGAGTCACTTAGAAACAACAAAGGTGGGAGGTGTTGGGTTTATGGGCAATTGGAAGTTTAGCTCTTGTGGTCACAGGTCTATGTGCAATCAGGAAGACTACAGTGACCAGGATCCATTATAACCACTTAATATTTCATGATAAAATGAAGATGCCAGGAAAGCAACTTGCCTTGGCCATACCAAGTGCTCTAGGGCACTGAAGCAATACCGTCCTCCTATATTCTCAGCCTCTATTCTCTTTGTCCTTCCAGTGTACTTACCTCAAAGGATGCCCGGGGACATGGCTTCAAGGGTAGGTTGGTCCCGATTCTTCTCACTACGCTTCGGGCAGCCCCATGTGGCTTGTTTTGCCAGATTGGGACAGTCTAGAGCAAAGAGAGGCAGAAAGCCGCAACCTCAGAGATGGTGAGTCCAACTATGGTCCCTGTCCTGTCCTCCCTAGCAGAGAAACTGAATTTCCCAATGTCAAGGACAGGGCACCCTCTGGGTGTTAAGTCTCAATTAAAAGTGACAGCAGGGACTAGCAGGTGATATACTGGTTAAGGTGCTGGACTCCCACATGGCCGACCATTGTTCAAGTGGTTGTGTATGTGCCCAAAATCCTGAGGGGAGAATGGAGGAGAAGGGATTGCAGTGTGGCCATTCCCCCTGGGGGGTGATTTCTCACTGTCTCAGTCTACCCAGCGAGCACACTCACCCTATAACAACAAAAAGCAAACAAAACAAAACAAAAAAATGAGGGCAGGTTCTGTCACCAGCCTTCACCTTAGACAGCCACCCAAGGTGACATCTGTTTTTGGTAAGACAGTTAATGTTGGGAAGGCCTGGGATGACGAAGAAGGGATTCAGGGCCAGTGAAGACATGAGTGCAGGGATCTAAGAGAAGAGTCTCCTGCCTAGAAAGGCAGATACACAGTGATGCCTGATGTGCCCCAAGATTATACTTGCTTATTCCGGGGCAAAGGGGTTGGGGAGGACAGTCTTGGTCTAATTCCAAGCCTCTAGGGGAAAGGAAGAACTAACTGGAAAGTCTCAGAGCCCCACACTGTACTTCAGCACCATACCCTTGCCCTGGAATCCCCTTACCACATTGGCTTCCATTTCTGACATTTCACCCAGCTCCTGCACTTGAAGGACAAGACAGCCACACGGCAGCTTGGGGAGGTGGGATGTGTGACTCCTTCATATCAAGTCATCTTGAAGAACAGTAGACATCTGTCCTGTAAGATAGCTACCACAGTGAGGATGCAGTGGCCACACACAAGCTCCACAAAGCCAAGCCCTGACACCAGGGCTTCTCTGATACTTCAGAGAGAAAAAAAACCGCCCAAGAGGCTACCCTCACCCAACACTAGCTTCTCCAAATTCAGTCCCTTATAGGTTCTGTTCCAGACTTGCTTTGTGAGCTTGGCCAACCCAGGGGCTTCAAGATTCCTGAGACAAAGCTTCTAAAGATGTACACAGAACTCTTTGGCAGCTACAAAGCTCATGGGAGAGACACATGTAGGTACCATCCCAGCCTGGCATTCATTTCTTGAAGATGAGATGTAAAAGACAAGACAGCCACACGGCAGCTTGGGGAGGTGGGATGTGTGACTCCTTCATATCAAGTCATCTTGAAGAACAGTAGACATCTGTCCTGTAAGATAGCTACCACAGTGAGGATGCAGTGGCCACACACAAGCTCCACAAAGCCAAGCCCTGACACCAGGGCTTCTCTGATACTTCAGAGAGAAAAAAAACCGCCCAAGAGGCTACCCTCACCCAACACTAGCTTCTCCAAATTCAGTCCCTTATAGGTTCTGTTCCAGACTTGCTTTGTGAGCTTGGCCAACCCAGGGGCTTCAAGATTCCTGAGACAAAGCTTCTAAAGATGTACACAGAACTCTTTGGCAGCTACAAAGCTCATGGGAGAGACACATGTAGGTACCATCCCAGCCTGGCATTCATTTCTTGAAGATGAGATGTAAAAGCGCAGCCAGTATCAGGCCTCAGGGACCTCCACTGCTGGGCCTCTGCAAGCGGGAGATATAGGAGTGGACAGAAAAACAGTTCTGCTTACTGGTCAGTAAGGAAAAGAGCCAAACATTCTTATCCTGGCTCAGCCACTTATGGCTTTGTAGCACAGGCAAGTCACAACTTGAGTGTGGGTTTCTCCACCTGTGAAAAGGAGACATAAAGGCCAATATGGAGGAAGCTAGGTTTTCCATGGCTGATCAGGGTTTGAATCTTGCCTGTCAACTTCATGTCAGGTTCATGCACATGTGCTCAGGATTCTGACAGATGAAGAACTGGAGGAAAGAAGGTAATAGTGTGACCAGGCCCCATTAGGGGTGCTTTCTCTCACCTTCCCTCTTGCGTGTGTACATGCTCTCTTTCATGAATATAAATTAAAAGGGGAGGGTGGCAGGAAAATCTGCCATGTTAAGTTATCTTACAGGTTGTCTTGGTCTGCTGTTGTGTTCCTAACAGATATCTGAAACTGGGTAATTTATAAAAAGATTTATTCAGCTTGCAGTTGGAAGGTCCAAGATCCAGGAGCCCTCTTTGGTGGCTGTCTCCCAACGTGGTGGAGGGCAGGAGAACATAATCTCTGTTCCACGTCTCATTCTCGCTCCTTATATACCCAGTATAACTGTCATGGGGGTTCTACCCTAATATTCTTAATCCTCATCTCTTCTCAAAGGCCCTACTTTTCGACACCATAATCAGATTGTTTTCACCTTAATCCCTGTACAATAGTTCAACACGTGAGTTTTCAAGGGACATATTCTAACTGTAGTAAGTGTCTATCAATGAAATGGGGGATTGTAAAAATAATTTTCAAAATGAATTTTAATTATTTATACATTTAATCACTATACATCATTTAGATTGTAAAGAGACTTTACCCAGCATGATACACACCTCAGCCTAGCCCAGTTGAGAACATATGCACATCCTCATCAATAATGAACCATATCCACGTCCCACAAATGCCTTACCTCTCCAATTTTTCCCCCAGATTTCCTTTCCTACGCTCCTCCCCTCTCCCACTCTTTTGCCACTTTGGCTCTCGTGTCCATAGCAATTTTTAATGCTTGTATGTCCTCCGGTCTTTCAGTCTCTGCCATAGAGTGCTGACAGTCGGTATATGTTAAGGGGAGACATACAATGCCTCTCTTTCATAGCCTGACTTGCTTCACTCAGCAACAGATCTTCCATATTCGTCCACTTTCTATCAAATTCCAGGGCCTTGTTGTTTTTTTGTGGCTGAATGGTATTCCATGGAGTATGTATGCCACTCTTTTTCAGTCCATTCACCCATTTATGGACATTTGGGTTTGTTCCATGTCTTTGCAATCATGAATAAGGCTGCAATGAATATACAGGTGCAAGTGCTTTTCCAATTGAGTGTTCTCGTGTCCTTTGAGTAGATACCCAGAAGTGGGATTGCTAGATCATATGGTAGTTCTACTTGTAGATCTTTGAGGAACCTCCATATTGTTCTCCACAGTGGCTGGACCAATTTACAATCCCACCAACAGTGTAGGAATGTTCCCCTTTCACCATATCCCCTCCAGCACTTATCTTTTCTTATTTATTTATTTATTTTCTTCTTCACCATTCTGACCAGTATCTCACTGTGAGTTTGATCTGCATCTCCCTTATGATGAGGGATGTTGAACATTTCTTCATATTCTTTTTAGCTGTTCGTATGTCTTCCTAAGAGAGTTGTTTATTCAGCTCATTTTCCCATCTTTTAATTGGGTTAATCTTTTTTTTCCCGAGTAAGCCACTTGAGTTCTCGGTGTATTCTTTATCAGTCCCTTATCTGAGGTACAGTTAACAAAAATTCTCTCTCATTCTGAGGGTTGTCGATTCACACTAGTGATGGTATCCTTTGCTGTGTAGAAACTTTATTTTTGGAGAGGTTTCTGTTATAGGGAGCGTGTGCTCACCAGAAAGACAGAGAGATAGAGAGATAGAAAGCGGAAACCACCCCCCCTGGGTGATGGCCACACCACAATCCCTTCTCTTCCATTCTTCTCTCGGGATCTTGGGCATGCACGCACACACACACACACACGCCCGCCTGAGTTTAAGCCACCGGGTCTGGGATTCAAACTGCGGTCATCTACATGGGAGTTCAGCAACATAGCCATTACACTAACTGCTGGTCCCACAGAAACCCTTTTTTTCTTTTTTTTTTTTTTGGAGAGGTTTTCGCTATAGGGTGCGTGCGCTGGCCAGACAGACAGAGAGAGACAGAGAGACAGAAAGCGAGAAATCACCCCCCAGGGGCAATGGTCACGCCACAATCCCTTCTCCGTTTTCCTCTCAGGATCTTGGGCACGTACGCACACGCACCCGGTGTGAATTTTAAGCCACCCGGTCTGGGACGCAAACCGCGGTCAACTACGTGGGAGTCCAGCGACACAGCCATTATGCTAATTGCTGGTCCCCCACAGAAACTTCTTAATCTGATGTAATCCCATTTGTCTATTTTGCCTGTGTTCTGGGAGTCTTACTTAAGACGTCTTGGCCTACCCCAGTGTCTCCCAGAGTTTCCCCAGTGTTTTCCACCAGTAGTTATATTGTTTGTGGTCTTAGGTTTAGATCTTTGATCCACTTTGAGTTGATTTTTGTTAATGGTGACACATAGGGGTTCAGATTCATCTTTGTGCAGGTGGATACCCAGTTTTGCCAGTGCCATTTGCTTAAGAGATTTTCCTTTTCCCACTAGATTAACTGGTACCCTTTGTCAAAGATGAGTTGGCTGTATGTTTTGGGGTTTATTTCTGGGGTCTTTACTCTGTTCCATTGGTCCTCATGCCTGTTTTTGCGCCAATACCATGCTGTTTTGATTATCACAGCTTTGTAATATATTTTGGGGTTGGGAAGTGAGATGCCCCCTACTCAACCCTTCTTGTGCAGAATGGCTTTGGCAATACAGGGTCTTTTATGATTCCAGACAAATTCTATAATTGCCTTTTCTAGATCTGTGAAGAATGTCTCTTGTAATTTTTACAGGGATTGCATTAAATATGTACATTAATTTGGGTAGGACTGCCATTTTGATTATATTAATTCTGTCAATCCAGGAACATGGGATGTCCTTCCACTTTTTTGTGTCCTTTTTGATTTCCTTTTTAAGGTTTTCATAGTTTTCCTTATAGAGGTCTTTGACTTCCTTGGTCAGTTTTATTCCTAAGTATCTTATACTTCTTGTGGCTATGGTAAATGAGATTACTTTCTTCAGTTCTGTCTCTGTCTGCTTATTTTTTGTATATAGATATGCTACACATTTTTCTAAGTTAATTTTGTATTCTGCCAATTTACTGTATGCATTTATTACTTTGAAGAGTTTTTTTGTGGATACTATTGGGTCTTCTATGTAAACAATCATGTCATCTGAGAAATGGGGGATTTTAAAGTATTTAATGAGCTAAATGGTTATGTTGCTGTACTCCAACATAGTTGACCACGGTTCAAGTCCCCGACCTGGTAGCTTCATGCATGCCCAAATTCTCAAGAGAAGGAATTGCAGCATGGTCATCCCCCCATGATGATGAGTTCTCGCTGTCTCTCTGGCAAGCACATGTGCCCTATAGCAAAAGTCTGTCTTAAAAAAAAATGACACAGATGGGGGGGTCACTCCTTACTACCTTTTTTTTTTTTTTTTTGGAGGAGTTTT